CAGGTTTCATGATCGTCAGCCAATTATTCAACACTAAACTCTACAATGAAGTCCTAAAACGAAGAGTAAATAAATCCTCAAATATACAAATATTTAAATTATCAAACAAATTTCAACATTATCATCCAAAAGGATAGACTCTGAGTCTGGGAAGATTTAGTTCATCTAAGTCAGTGTTTCCTGGTTGTTTTTTTGTTTTTGTTTTTTTTTTACTGAGTTTTATGGCCACAACTATATCTTTTATCATGACCCAAAACATACATAATTACTGTCAAAGAGGAAAAAATGTCCCCAAATTAAGAAATGGGAAGACTGTGTATTCTGCATCTTTTGTGTGGCTTGAGAAAACTGCTCAAGCACGCTGCTTAAATCAGAATTTTTTAGTTGGTGCTCTGCTTCTAATCTCTGTCTGACACCAGTTCGTGCTTCCATATTAATTGTCATACACAACTGTTGATAGACAAAACCTTGTTATTCTAACTCTCAGCCACAGATATAGTCTTAGCGTTTGCTTCTTAGATGTTGGTTTTTTTTTTTTTTTTCCAGCAGCAGCACACAGACATCTCAGATCATCCTGCCCCAGACTGCCTTTGTGATAACTGATATGGATGTGATGTTTCTGTGACCTTGTGAAATGAACTTTATACTTTCTTCCTCATTTTTTAAAACTAGCTGCTTAGGTAAACATTGTGTTTCCTGAGTAATCCTCCCATTTCCAAACTCTCTCTGAATGGATATAATCTTTTATTAGTTCCTTGCTAGCAAGTAAACCAATTCTGACATACGCTAAAGATCAACCTAAGAAATTTTCTTTTTAACATATATTGTGAAACAAAAATTTCAGAAAACAATATTTTCACTTACTATATGCTATGCATTCTGATTTTTTGTGTGTTTCATTTCTTTTTTAAAAATGCCATTCGTGATCCACTATATTGACTCCCTGACCCATTGGTATTCTTGGAACCACAACTTGAAAACTACTGCACTTAATTCCCCTAAAAGAGATTACAGATTCATTATTTTAAAATGCCGATGGAATATCTGGGAAGGATTTGACTAGCAAAAGGTGGGAAGGAGAGTACTTTAAAAATGTAGGAAGTAGCATTAAATGTATCTGGAGAGTGATATGTTAAAGTCTCTCTTTTTGTCTGAATCGGGAGAGAATTATAATTGTCCAAGAATTAGTAGCAGGTTTCCAGCCTAAGGTAGCAGAATGCAGGGGCCGATGTGAGAAGTGGTGCTGGAGAACAAAGAGAGGCAGGCCCAGGAGGTTTCACGATTTGACACAGGTCACGCATCAGTCAGGGAGTTGCAGAAGCTACCAGAGGCAAGCTGGAGGGGACAGCACTCAAGAGCTGGGAAGTGCAAGAACAGACCAATGCAGGAGATAAAATGCAAATAAAAATGCTGAACAGGGAAAAACTATATGGCAAATGTTTTATGGCAAAAAGCCTGAGGCTCTTCTTAGAGAAAACAGCAATCAAAGGAATTCTATAGTGGAAGCTTCCTCTGTGAAAGCCTATATTGACCAACTGTTCCATTTTTAAAAGCTTGACCCATTTTCAAGGCTGTCCTAAAATCTGAATTACTGTTCAATCTTCAACAGGTCAGGGATCGATACTGAACTGCTTCCAAATACTTGTCCCCCTCCTTCCTTCTGCCCCTCAATTAGCCCTATTGCAAATGTCTACCCATACAAATAGACGTGGATATGAATAAAGATAAAGATATGGATATAAAGATAAAGATAAGAAACATTAAAATAAGTTATGTGCATGATACAAATTTGTAAACTGCATTTAGAAGCAAACTAAGATTTTTCTCTAATTTGCTATGCACTTTAATTTTGCTGGTTAGGCACAGTTTACTCTATTTTTTGCAGAATGTTAGAAGCCAAAGTATCTATGAGGAGATATTGTTGCTAAATTTTAAAAGGTGTTTTCAAATAATGTTTACCAAGTGTATTACATGTATATTTGAAGTTATTAAACTTTAAAAACAGAATAATTTTAAAATAATTTTACATAATAATGACAACTACTATTGAGCTTAGGAGTTTACACAGTTATCTCTAATTACAGATGAGGGTAACCACGATACCAAAAAGTTAACTAATCTATTCACGATCACAAAACTATTAAGTGGCAGAGCTGAGATTCAAACTTAGGCAGTTTGGTTCCAGAGTCTATGTTTTTAACCAATACACTAATGTAAGGAAAATAAATTTTAAAAAAGTCATTCTGAGTAAAATTGTACAAAGACCAAGAGAAAAATCTCAAAAGCAGTTAGTGGAAGAAGTCAGAATACTTTCAAAGCAGCAACAGCTTGACTCTCAACAGCAACAGTGGAAGTGAGTAGATGACATCTTGAATGTGCTGAAATAACATAATTTTCCATCTTGAATTCTCTACCCCATGAAAATTTATTTCACAAATAAAACAATGACATTTCTCAGGCAAACAAAGTTGAGAGCATTTGCCTCCAAAAGATCTTCACCAAAGGAAATTCTAAAGCATGTATTTTAACAGAAAGAATTGATCCTGGAAGGAATGTCTAAAATGCAAGATGGAGTAAAAACAAAGCAAATGGCAAAAACCTAGGAAATTCTAAAGGAAAGTATCTCTTGTATAAAATAATAAAAATAATATTATTTTGTGCTATAAAATATACAGTAATATCATATAAGTCATTAGAGTCATAAAAATAGTCATTAAATGTAGACTTTAATAAATGTGTATGTTGTGCTGAGGATACCACTAAAAGCACAGAAAAAGAGTGCATAATCTCAAAACTCAGGAAAAATAAATGATAACAAATTTAAAACAAAAGAAGGTATTAAAGAAGAGAAAAACAAAAGCCAAGACAAGTAAAAACACAAAATAATGTGGTAGATTTAAAACCAAATATATCAGTATTTACATTGATGGATTAAATTCTCCAGTCAGAAGATAATATTGTCAGACTGTATTTTAAAATGTCCAAGCACATGCCTTTTATAAGAAATACCACTAAAACACAAGTACACAGGTTGAAAGCAAAAGGCTAGAAAAATATTCACTGAGAAAATAATAAGCAAAAGAAAGTCATTTTCCGATATTACTATCAAACAAAGCAGACTTTATGGGAAAATATTATAAAAAGGTCATGTAATAAAAAACATGATTACAAAAAAGCGTTATTATCAAAATGATAAAATGTTCAATTCACCAAAAAGATACAGCAGTTATCCATCTAATTTCACCTAAGATCACAGCCTCAAATTATGTAGAGCAAAATTTGAAAGAACTAAGAAAAAACTAAAAATGACAATCACAGTGAGAGATTTAAACATACTTCTCTTAGTAACTGATTTAAAAAAACGCAGACCAAAGTAGAAAAATCAGCAAGAACAGAGATTATTTGAACAAGATTAGCCAAACTGACCTACTAGACATATATTACAAACACCGTCGCAACAATCGAGGAGTACACATTCTTTTTAAGAGCAATAGATTATTTAAACAATTAACCCTTTCCTGGAGGAAAAAAAATCAAGTTTCAACAAATACCAATCATACAGAGCATTTGCATTACCACAAAACAACATAATCTAGAAATAGACAACAAAAGAAAACTAGAAAAGCTCCATACAGTTTGGAATTTTGGGAACACATGTCAAATGGCCCATGAGTAAAAGAAGAAATCATAATGGAAATTACAAAACTAATTTTAACTGAATGATGATACAATGCTTGTGAGATACAGCCAAAGCAATGTTTAGGAAGAAATTCAGACCTTTAAAATTCATATCTTAGGTAAGAAAAAGCTGAATATTGAGCTAAACATCTATCTCAATAAGTCAGTAGTTAGGAAAAGAACACCAAAAAAAGTAGAAGAAAGATATATGGATTAATAAACAAAACTAATGAAAATGTCTAGTGACAATGTTAAAGAAAAAGAAGAGAATACACAAATAACCAATATAAGGAATGAAAAAGGATACATCATCATAGATATATCAGGTAGATTAAAAATACAGTAAAAATTTTAAATAAAATGAGCTAATTCCTAGAAATAGCAACTCAAAGAAAACTGACTCAGAAGAAATAGAAACCCCCAAATGTCCTATATAGAAGGGTGTTCGTCAGAATATTTAAAACTTGGTTTGATAAAGACACTAACCATCAGAACAGATATTGACCTAATCAGAACTGACATCAACTCTGAAAACCAGTACACCATTACTAATGCTTAAAGACTGCCTCAAACTATTAAGAATTATTATCACTATTTCTCACAAAGAAAATGCTAGGCCCAGATGGCTTTACTGATGAATTCTACCAAATAGTCAAATAAAAAAACTTACTCCAAACTTATGCAAACTGCACCAGAAAACAGAAAAACACAATATGTTTATCAACTCATTTTATGATTCTAGCAAAAGCATGACACAAAAAATATCTGACAAAGATAGTATAAAAAAAATTATAGCCCAATTTTATTCTTGACAACAGAGGCGAAAATTCAATACAAAACAATGGAAAACTGAATCCAACAAAATTAATACATTGTGACCAATTTGAATTTATCTCAGGAACACAAAGTTGATTCAACATTATAAAATCAACTAAATATTAAAAGAGAAAATCATAAAGTTATCCTGAATAGACACAGTAAAAGATTCATGATAAAAAATTTTTAGAAAAGTGGCAGTAGAAAGAAACTTCCTTAACATGATAAGGAATAATTACAAAAAAAGTTAAATGTCATCTATAATGGCAACGCACTGAAAATTTTCCCTTTGAGATCAGGAAAAAGGAAAATGATCAACTCAAATCAGACTTTCTCAAGATTTTCTGAGTCATTTTCAAATTTATTCTATTATACAATATAGATTCTATATTGCTATCTATTCTTATCTACATGATAAGAGGATGTCCTCTACTCTTCAAGTTGTGACGGCCTAGTTAAACTTTATATCTAAATGAAAGATCCAGTTCTATGATTATACTACATACCATAGGTTCTGTTTCCTTTGGAGGTTTGTCCAGAGGAGGAATGTACCATTGAAAGCAGAGTTCTTTGTCTAAAGCTTGTGTTGCCATTTCTGATGACATCAGGTCCGTACCAGACGAGCTGGCAGGGAGCTTTAAAGATAAAACGGAGTGTATAGAACTGTCACGACTTAACTAGGGAACAAACAAAAACATTGGTTTAGTCACTGGTAATAAATTCATTCAATACATAAAATTAATTGGCAACACTGAAAAACTCTGGGAATTGTCTCAGCTTGTTTTATGGAAGCAGATCTTAAAACCGTCTGCGAATTACCACAGAGAAGATTTTCCTACAGTAAAAATATGCCTCAGAACCGAGGGGACTCAACAAATGTCTTCCACTTTGACAAATCTTCTGGGTGAAGATCTAATGGAGAAAATGCCCACACAACCATTTCAGGGTCAAAGTCCCCATTGTTTCTAAGAACACCTATTCTATTTCTGGTTTATTCATTGGTGATTACACTAAGGGTATGGTTATAATTTATTATCTATTTTCCAATAGCTTTTTTGTGTGTGCAGTGCTATATGAAAAATAAGACATAGTTTTTGTTCTAAAGGGTAAAATTCATTGTTCTAAAATCCATTAATTCTAAAAGGTTAGAATCATTCTGCCCTTCAAAGAATGTGGCAACTTCAATTTGCAAGTTCAATCTTTGGCAAATTTGGGCCCAGCTTCTTTATGGAACGTGGTCACTGAATTAGAAGTCTTTAAGAAACATAAATGTATAGAATGCAATTGTCAATTTCATAAATTATTTAATTAATTATTTAAGGTAGTTAAGAAAGCAAAGCATGGTTGCTAATTATCACCAAAATAGCAGACTATCCATAGAGATAAGAATAGTGAAAAAAAATCTCAAAATCTAAAAAGGACCTTCCTCAAAGGAGTGCAAACTACTTTCAAAATTAACTTCTTGTTATTCCTAAGACTATAGCATGGTAGGTGGGAAACAGTTCCTCTATTATACTCTTTTTGACATCTAAGAACTCTCAAGTTTTCATGACCAAGGAGAATATGCCAGCGGCCGGAAAGAAATGCCTGGTGTTTCTGTAAGGCTTTGTCCCTCCCATTATTTCTGAGCCTATTCAAGATATAAGACTGTGAATGCAAGTATTCAAAATAAAATAAAAAAGAAATAAAAATACTGACCTTTCAAGTTGCCTATTGATAAAAGAAAAAAAAATTTTGACTGAAAGGTAATATTAAAAGTGAAAACTTTTTAAAAATGTCTAGGCATTATCATAAAAAGATATTACAAGCCAGAATCCTCACTTCTGAAAGCATGATCAAAATGCACAATAAGCAAGATTATTAGTGTTTAATTAAGAATAATTCTATGTCAGGCAGTTCATTTAAAAAATCAAGCAAATAATTGATTCAAACAGATTTTCTCATATTTCTTCATAGCCAAGTGACTTTCAGAGGTTCTGACAACTATTTTAGGAAGTAATTCATATTTAATAATTAGCCAAGCATTGAAATATAAAAAGCAAATAACTTTTATTTCAATATATGCATTGTTTATTAGCACGGTGGTCTAATAATGATAAATTACAACAGAAGTCGATATCAAAATAGGTATTTAATTTTCTATTATCTTTAAAATACTGTAATATCTAGTTGCTAATGGGATTCATTACTTATGATAATTGATAAGTTAGACACTGAATACTTTTAATATATTTTCTTTATTCTTTGAAAGAAATAAAATAGGCCTACCAGGGGAACCCTAGTTCACCACAGTCCTACAAACAACAAAGCAGCTCACATTAATCAGATATTTGACCTGACCGCCTGTGCTACATGGTCACAGGCATACAGTCTAAGCATGAATAACTCAGCATTGAACACAATCTCAATCATATCCTTTTTGGGGACTTTTTAGCGTAATTTGTTTGGCACCTTTGTTTTTCCATCACAAAGCTCCAATGGATTTGACAACATGCAAAATCACACAACTGATGAATACAACACAGAGCGATGATCCTTCTGGAAAGGCAAAGCTACTTTTTTGTGGGGGAAAGTAGGTTTAAGTATCAAATTATGGAAAGAGTTTGATTGAAATAGCCTCCAGAGTGATTAAGGGTTCAAAAATGTTATTATAAAAATCAGCCAAGCTTAAAGTTTGTATATAAAAAAAAAATCCAAAAGGCTTCATGTTCATTAGCTGTCTACCCCAGTGAAACAAACACATGATTAGGTGGCTTGCACCTGTCAGGAGGAGACAGTGATCTCCAGAGCTGATTATCCTGGGAGAGTGTTACTCTATATCAAAAGAGAGCAAACAGGGCGAAACGACTGTTTGATAACACTGCTGCCATTAGAAATGTCACATATATTTACAATGTATTCTAGGTTGTATGTTTGGATCATCATCCTTGGGTACCAATAGGCTTCCCTTAATTCTAAAATATTCAAGCAGAGCTTGTTTTAGAACAGTATCTAAGAAGTCACACATACTAATTTCCAAATGCCGATACCATATTCACAAGAATAGATCCATCAAAACTACTGTTCTCAGACTTCCCGTCCCCTGTCCCCCACTCCAAAACACCAGAAATGTCTAGACAACTGACAGTAATCCTCAAAGACAGTCTCCGTTCCCCTGGTGAATCAGAATCTGGTGTTAGATGGAAATGACTTCATCTCACCGCCACTGTTCCCTTCCATGTGGAGGGCCAGACATTAACATTACACTCCTGGCTTTTCCACCTCCTCACTCACACCTCTCCCTTGGGAAGCATTGTTTGATTGGTGAATTTGGGAAGAAGAATTCTGGGCATGTATGGTTCTGGTCTTTCTTCTTGGGAGTACACTGTTTGCAGGAAGTGAAAATTCTCCACTCCATGCAACAGATTTTAAGAGGCCTATCCCCTCATGAAGAAGCCTGTAATGACCCAATAATATGAGGCTGGATTGGTAAATCTGCCTACTTTGATATTCATTACTAGGGAGACCATTCACTGGTATTTATAAGCTACATCCTACAATATCAACGTTATGACTCATAAAGACAGGTATTTTTTAATTCCAATCTGTCTGACTCTTTTATTTTGCAAACGATTTAGAATCTGGGCAAGGAATGGGGTAGAGTGTCAGACATGCCAGAAATCTTCCTGTGTGCTTATAATACATTGCCCCGAGGGCAACTTCATAACCCCAGTTGAGAATCATTTCTTTAACTGAATTCTTAACAATTCCTTAAGGGGTCTTTCCACTACTTTTTAAAAACTCACAATTTATTAACAGTCACATGACTCTGTTGAGTAGAGCAGAATGTTCAAAAGAGTGATTTTGTAAAAATTTATTATTATCTACCTAAAATATAAGGTTGCTATATTCTAGTAGGATAAAATGAGTAAGGGTTCCCATTCTAGAACAGCCACATTTTCAGTTCTCTGGCAGCACAAACATGAACATGTCTGGTACAGGCAAGTCTATAACTATAAACGTTAAAGAGCCAGATGGCAAAGTCCAAAGTAGAGAAAATTCAAAATAAATCATTTTTTTTCCTGTTTTGAAAAAATTCTGTGCAAATGAATCAATTTATCCATTCCACAAATATGTATTGGAAGCTTAAAATATGCCGTGTCCACTTGAGTTTTGTACTAGACTCTTGAACTCTGTATCTACAAAGCAGAACATCCCAGCTTCCTCCACAAACGTGCTTGTCCTCTAGTCTCCACCGTATCTGCTGGTGGTGTCACCATGAGCTAATGATCACAGATAGAGGTTCCAAATGGTGGAAGAGGTCATTTCCTCTTCACTTTCCATCTCTGAAGGGTCAAATTGTTCTTTTGTTGTTGTTGTTTTCAATTTTCCTTAAGCAATATCTTTTAAAGCCATCTCTTCCTTCCCATTCTTGTGGTCATAAGCTTCATTATCTCTCTGTTGGGTAACTCCCTTTCATCTATCCTTTGCCAATCAACCCCATTGACAGTATAACTTATATATTAAAATATTTAAAT